AGTGTTAATTATGTGCTAGGCGCTATGATAAGCATTTAATAAACATTACACTTTTTCCTTACAAAATCCCTACTGTGTAGATGAGAATGAGAAAAAGGCTTACAAAGGTAAATATTCTGCCCAGTCATACCTATCAAATGGCAGAATTGGGATGCAAACTCAAATATTTCTAGCTACAAAGCCAGTGCTCTTTACTTTCCAGAACAGATTCACCTCTACCCTCTCCTCTCCAGGACGAGTGGCAAACAGGCAAAATCAAGCACTGCATTCTTATCTCTGATCCCAGTAGAGTGGTATAACCTTTCTCTTCTGCACACAGCCATCCACACAGTTACCATCAATAAAATAAAGTCAATATGAGGAATAAAATCAATTTTCCATCCTTTTAGAATTTAATTCTAAAATTAAAAATAACAATGGGAGACTAGTTAAGAGTATTATGTAGTACAATAACTCAATAGAATATTATATAACCACCCTGGCCAGTTTGGCTCAGCTATTGGAACGTTGGCCCATGGATCAATGAGTCGCGGGTTTGATTCCGGTCAAGGACACGTGCCTTGGTTGCAATTTGTCCCTGGCCCTGGAGAGGTAGTGTGGGAGGCAGCCAGTCAGTGTGGCTCTATCACATTGAGGTTTTCTCTGTCTCTCCCTCCCTCCCACTCTATCTGATAATAAGTAGAAAAATATCCTTGGGTGAGGAACCAAAAAAAGAATATTCTATAACCAGTAACTACAAATACTATGAGGCAACAAGGGAAAGATTTTGAGATCTTGAATGTTTAATAAGTTTATAAATAATCATTCTTAAACTATATAAAACATATAGAATAAAATGTGTAGAACTGAAGTCAAAAATCAGGATAGTGAGTGAAAATGTTTCTTCTTTAAAATTTGGGGAAAGGGGTGGGGGGAGGGATAGTAGAGACTTGGAGAGAAGAGATACAAGAAAGAGAATGAGGAAGGCTCAGGACAGATGAAAACCCATGCAAAAATTTAGAAAGGATTAGATATTCAAAGAAAGAGGATGAGATGGGTAGAAACCCAACAAAAGAGAAGTACAGAAATCCAGAGTAAAAGGTTGAGAGATCCATACAGGAAATAGCCAACAGATAGAGGGGAATGAGGATGGGAGAGGGAGACAGACAGACACACAGCCAGGCAGTCATATACCAGTTGACAGGGAGGGAAAAGGGTAGATCTGAGGGGTGACACAGACAAAGAGAGAGGGACAGAAACCCAGAGACAGAAAGATAAAGACCCAGAGCCAAGAATGAATGGGAATGCCCAGCTGGTGTGGCTCAGTGGATTGTGCGTCGTCCCTGGACTAAGAGGTCCGGGTTTGATTCCCAGTTAGGACACATGCCTGGGTTGCAGGTCTGATCCCCAATAGGGGGTGTGCAAGAGGCAGCTGATAGATATTTCTCTCTCGCACTGATGTTTCTACCTCTTTCTCAAACAAAACAAACAAACAAACAAACAAAGAGTGAAAGGGACAAAGTAGACAGAAAAGAAAAAAAAGGCTTAGAAAAAGAGGTAGAAAATGACAGTCACATGATGATGATGATGATGAAAGGATTACAAAATATTTCCATATACAAGTGAACTTATCCATGGAACCTAACCAAACTTATCATCCCTATAACCCTGAAACACTGACTCCTTCTCTTTCTCATCCTCATAATCCCTCAGCTCAATCCCCTAATTATATCCTCAAACCTCCTTTAGGCTCATATTCTTACCATTCATCTCCTGCCCAGAGATTCCCCTGAGCTCTCTGAAATGCTACCCCCAAACCCCTACCAAAAACTCTTCATGGAGTTTCAAACCCCAGTCTCTTCATAGAGGGTTCTTTTTACTGCCTTGCCATTGACAAAACCTGGATCCCACCCAAAGGTAATACTGGATTCCTTGCAGCTCTCTCAAATGAACTGTTCTCACCTTTCAACATATTCTACGACCAGAAAGCAATACTGGCAAACTGCCAGCTCTTCACTGCCCTGGCCTCAAACAACATCCCCTCTCTCTTCTTCCCAAACTCCTAAGTAAGAGTTCTACCACATGGCTACACACCCCATCTACCCAACCTTATCAATGTTATCCCTCCATTTAGCGCCCTCTACTTATGAGTCATATATACAACTACCTACTGGGCATCTCTATCTGCATGTTCCAGAGGCATCTAAAACTATATTATTTTCTCCCTCAAAACCCTTCTAATATATACACATAAGCAATGCATAACGTTTCTGTTAGTAAAATGCCTATCCGATACAGGACTGCCAAGTTCAGAAAGAAATCATCTTTAAGGATTTGTAAGAATTGCATAAGACATTAGATCCCTTTCTAAACAGCAGTTCTGAGTTTACTCTAAGTAACCTACTCTTAGAGGAGTTAGAATTAATAATAACAACTCTGAGCTCTCAATGCTAGAGCAGAACCCATCTCATGCTAGTTTACTAGCTGGTCTCTTCAGTGACATGTTGGTTCTGGCCAGAACAATTCAAAAGAAAGGAAGTGAAGATCATGAGTAGGTCAAGAAGAAATTATCCTTTTGGTGGCTGGTATATTATGGGAGGTTCTGAACCTGTATATTTCTGCATATCCTCAGAAAATCTTTCTTTTTTTAAAAAAAGAAAAGATCATTATTTTCAGCAATAATCACTTTTCTTTTTTTCTGTTTTTTTAATGGAGCTATCCAAAATTAAGAGGTGTCTTTTTTTTATCCTCACTGGAGGACCTTTTTTTGCATTTATCTTCAGATAGAGTGGGAGGGAGAGAGGGGGTAAGAGAAAGAGAGAAACATCTACCCACACGACCCCAACCAGGGCAGGGGACAAACTGCAACTGAGGTACAAGCCCCTAGCAGGAACGGAACCTGGGATTTACTGGTCCGCAGGTCGATGCTCTAATCACTGAGCAAAACCAGCCAGGGCTAAGAGGTGTCTTTCTTTCACTTTGGACAATTTACAATGCTCAAGAGAAAGTTCTGAGATAAATAAAATATTAGAAAATATATTTCTTTTTTTTAACAGGCAGAGGTTCTCTGTACTCTGGTTAATCTCCCTTAATGACTTCTCAGTTGTTCTTTATCTGCAAGACTATTTAAGATAAATAAGCAGCTCTGTACAGCAGCAGGAAGGAAAGTCATCCTCTGGGATACACAGATGGAACCAACTGTCAGTCCACTGTCAATCCCAAGGCAGGTTTAAGTAACAGCGAGGGCAGACTATGATGGGAGCTTCTATCAAACCAACCAGTCAGATAAGCCTTTGGCTGCCATCACAAATACAGCCTTACATTCAAAAGTTTTAATATTCTTCCTTTTCTCTTTATCTTCATAAAAGTTAAATGAGTTAAAATTTATAAAGTACTGAAACAATACTGTCACATAGGGAAGCAATATAAATTAAGTAGTCAAGACAAAATGTTTAGGGGTTTTGTAAGAGATCTTTGTAAATGAACCTGTATGCAATCCAGTTTTTCAATGAACAAAAACTTCTGACCTTTACTCTCCTCCCCAGGGTTTTATGTCTAGCATCTAATAACAAAAAGCCATGAGGATGCAAAATTCCATTAAGAGTTCTGTAAACAAAACAGATGCTCCATAATTGTATTTGGGGAGGGACAGGAAAAAGTAAAGACATGCCAAAACAGATAAAATTAAAGACATAACAGTTTGCTGGGTTAAAAAAAAAAAAAAGAATCAAGTAATTGGCTTTAGAAACAAAAGAGCTCAAATACTTATGAGGATTTACAGTCTCTAATACAAGCAGAGGAAATTTAAACTTAAAGGGCAGGGGTGCACCTGAAAAACAAGTCACTAAAGAATCAATTTGGTATAGGGATATTAAAAAACAAAAAACAAAAAACAAAAACAGAACCAATTTAGTTGTTAAAATATTAGCTAACACAAAGACACACACCCAATTATATATCTGTAGGCAAGTATATCAAAATCCTGGCTTAAGATATAGGTATGTTCCCATATTACAGGCTCTATCATAAAAATAAGAATTTCTAAGGAAATAATCTAAATAAAGTTTAATGGAAAATAATTAAACACGGATACATTGAGAAATAGGTATGTGAAGTAAAAAGACCACTGGCCTAGAAATCAAGAAGTATTATGGATCTAATGACTTGAGATAGTATATACATGATATCTGAGGTCCAAAATATCAAATGGAAGTATCCAAAGTCATATTTATTTACTCAAAAAGATTAGGTTGGTTTGTCACTTGTGCCCCCTCACCACAAACCAGTGAAGAAATAAATGTAATAAAACAACTGACTCTGGGAAAAAGAAACAGTGAACAGACAGAAATAAAAAGACCACAATAGAAGAAACTGATGTTCTATGCTGCCAATTCCAGTGAGTACAATGGCATTAGTTATTACAACTTCTGAAGAGAAAGATCAAGGGGAAGGGGGAGAAGGAGGGATTCACAGTACAAAATCTTAATTATCCTTTGCTATGACAGAATTAAATGTGATCACAGTGACCACTTATAAGCTCTTAAATCTTATACACTTTCCAACTTTTCCTTAGCCAAGGATAGGTTAAACTTGCCTTCCAATGTGTAAGTCTCAATTCTGGTCCTATCGACATCCTCCTCCTTTCCTTTCCCCTCCAATACTTCAACTTAACAAAATGACATCATTTTCCTCCCTCCAATTAACAAGTGAACTAACATAGGACTCCAGAAGCACACAAGGAACATAAATTGTTTTTAAAAAATATATAAAATTGCTTTAGAACTGAGGACAGGAGTTTAAAAAAGGAAGAAAGTATAAAAAATTCATTCCTTTTATTAACATTTTCCTGATATAACTAATAATGATCAATGATCATATCGTGAGTTCAGAATCTCTAGGGCCTATCTTTTGGAATTCTTCCACTCAATTAGCAAAACTGTTTCACCAGGATAAGGGGAATTATTTCTAGAAGAATAACAAGTCTATCACAACATTCAGTACACACTTTCTGCAAGACCTACCTTCTCACCACTTGAGTAGAAGAAATAACGCAATCGGACTATGTTACAGTGATCTAGCTTTCTCATGATTTGGAGCTCTCGGTTCTGAAAAGGAAACACCAAAAAAATATTTTTTAAAGGATAACTGCTATTCATCATATTGACTAATATTTCTGAATTAACATTAAACATTACAAACAGCAGGCTATAGATAAGTTACTGGTCTATAGATCAGTGCTGACCTGTAAAGTATTTGTTAATAGTCCATTAACTATTTATTACTGCTCTGCAAATCAAATTGAAAATAAGTGTTCGGTATCTTTTCTAGCAATTTGACAGAGTAATTTTATATCAATGAATCTTATAATAAAAAGTAGGGCCTAAATTTTGTATTTCTTAAAATTTCACTTTTGCATTAATTTATTTGTACTGGATTTTACCTCAATGAATTAAAAAATTTTAAAACTGGTACTTTATCACAAAAAAATTGAGAAGCACTGGTTTACAGTATATAAGAGATACCTGAAATGAGCTATTACTGCTATAATTTTTACAACTATAATAAAAATCAAACATCACACCAACAAATAAATTTGGATGCAAAGAAAACTCTTATAAGCCCTACTGTTTTCTAAGAAAGAGTGAGAAATCTGAGAATTAACCCCATTAGATGGCTTAGTTGCTAATTTTTAGAGAGTTAAAATATGACATACTAGAAACTATGTAGTATTGATAAATTTATTGACCACACAAATAATTTTTCCTTTGGAAAGTTTCAAAATTATGCTCATTCTTCATGAAAAGAAAAACTTAAATAACATGATGCCCTCCTAACACCATAATTTGAAGGTATATAGTAACAAAAAAGATAAATTCCAACAATATATTTGGGCTGTCAGAAATCAGTTAATAAAGGCTAAATTACATAACAGAAAAAGAACACCAAAGCACCAGCTATGTAGACAGAAAGTATAAAATTTCAGTTAAAATAATGATTTAGGAGAGCTATAAAACATAAAATATATGACTTAGAATCTGGAAGGGAAATGCTGTTATGGTTAGAAGAAAAAGTAAAAAACAAAGAGGAGTCGGGGATGCATAATAGGAGACAACAAGCCAAACAAGCAGAACTGTCCTACAGCAGAGTGGGCTCCAGTTTGTAGAAGGTGGTAGCAAAAAAGAAGTCAATGTTCCTTCTCCTCTAGAGACTTGCAATATTCTATTCTATGACTGTTCTCTCAAGGAAATAGGAAACTCGAGAAGACTCTCCTGTCCCTTTAAATTGACCATGAGAGCTGGGTTTATGTACACAGTGATATTTAACATTCTTTTATAAGACATCAATCATCCATCACTTGTTATAAAATGTTTATAGCTGAAGCAATAAACAAATTCAATGCAGTATAATTGCTTTAACAAAGATAACAACTAAAGTCAGACTCTTTTAACTATTTCAGAGGACACAGAAAACTTGACCAATTTTAAAACTGTGCTAATCTTTGGCAATTCGCATGTAGGTAGGTATTTTTGTGAGAGAACTGCCAGTAAGCTAAGACTCACTCCTCTCATGATATACAGATATTAAGATGCACTTTTTTTTTTTCAACACAGCCAACTATGTGAAAATAAGCTAGCTATTTTTCCAGACTCATTAGCCAAGGTAACTATTAAATTCCCAGGTAACAGAAGTTGTATAAAAAGAATACATAAGTGAAGCAAGTACATGGACCTAAAGATACATCTACCCTTATTCTTCTGCTGTTCACATCCTAGTCTTTTAAAAAGGATGCTTAAATTTTCTCATTTTAAAATTCCCTAAAAGATCCAAAACACAAATTTCATTGAGCAGTATTTATAAATATATTAATCAAGCCAGTACTAGGCAAACAAAGTTCATGCTTGAAATGTATTTAAATATACAACTATGCCAAGCCTAGGCATTTTTACTGGGTCATTTTTTATTAGTTCACTAAGGACATACTAACTCTATAGAAAACACTGTTATTCTACAAATACAGTGCACCTATTCTGTGTCAGGCATCATTCACAATATTAAGGATGTGGTAGTGAATAAGACCAACAAAGTTTCTACCCTCATCAAACTTACTAGAGCCATGAAGGACAGACAGAAAGGAATACACAATATATTTTCACATACACTAAGAAGATAGAGCATGATAAAAAGGAAGAAGTCAGAGCAGATCTATCAAAGGAGGTAAAATCTGAACACAAACCTGAATAATATGAAGATGAGAACCAAGTGAAGATATGGGGGAAGAGCACTGCAGTGCAATTATGGGAAACTCCTAATGTAAATGTCTAGAGGTGGGCTTGGCACAATAAAAAAATAGCTTGAGCCCTGGCAGGTTTGGCTCAGCAGTTAGAGCGTTGGACTGCAGTCCAGAGAGACCCAGTGGGACTGGGAGAGAGGAGGGAAGGACTAAGAAGTCAGAAAGTTCAAAAAGAAGCGAGAGCCCAGCCGGTGTGGCTCAGAGGACTGAGATGTCCCATATGGACTCAGAGGTCCAGGTTTGAATCCAGGTCAGGGCACATGCCCGGGTTGTGGGCTTGATCCCTAGGAAGGGGTGTGCAGGAGGCAGCTGATTGATGTTTCTATCTCTCTCTCCCTTCCTCTCTCCGAAAAAAAAACAACAACAAATCAATAAAAGCATATTTAGAAAAAGAGAGGTGAGATTTCCAGCTATAGTAGAATGAAGAGATCTCCCACCAAACACCTATAAAAAGGACTACACTGTATAAAACAACCATTCCAGAGCTCTGAAAATTATCCTAATACGACAATTCAAGAAGCTGCTAGATATTGGAGTAAGGACTGTGGGGAGCCAGTGGCCTTCTTACCAGGGAATGCCACTATCCCCCACTATTACCGCCCACCTCAGAAAGTCAGATAGTTTTATCAGGACAGGTTGGCCATGAAAACCAGAAATTCTGCTTCTAGAGGGGGTTACCATCACTTAAAACAGAGAGCAAAAACCCGTTTCCTGTGGCACTGGCAGGAAAAATAGCAAGTTTGACAGGATAGCTCAGCTACCCTGAGGATACAGTCCCAGTTGGGGAAAATGACAGACTGGCAGAACACTAACAAATTTAACAGGGAGATCCTGGAAATAAGAGATGCATAAAGGAGCTAAATAAGCTCTCCATATATCCCTGGCTCAAAGGCTGCACACACACACAGAGGAAACCTAAGAGGGCCTCAAAGAAAGCTGACGTTGACTTAAAAACTACTGAAATTTTGAAAGTACTCTGAAATGCATGTATAGAATCATCAAAAAATGATGGAAGCTTTATAAACTCAAGATGTTTGAACATAATCTCTAACCAATACCCAGCTGACCACTAAGCTATGCAGAAAAAGAGTCAATTCCTAAGAAATCAGGCTAAAATAATAAAAATTAGAACAAAAAATTTAACATAGAATTCAGGGTCTAAGAACTATGGAGGAGAAACATTCTATAGATTAGAAACAGGTATGTCAGAAAAATAAAGAAAAACCCCAAAACAATAACCTTCAGGAGGATTAATAAAAAGTCAGAATCCAGAATTGCTACAATATACTATTTAAAATGTCCAATTGTAAAAAAAAAAAAAAATTTTGTGAGACATGCAAATAATAGGAAAAGACCTATAATCAATTTGTTTTGTTTGATTTTAAAGCAGTCAGTAGTAACTGACTCTGGGTAGACATAGCTGTTAGTCTTGGCAGACAAGAGTACAAAGCAGCTATTAGGTTCAAAGAACATAAGAACTATGAAACTCCTTAAGAAAACAAAGGGGGTAAGCGTCTTGACAATGGTCTTAGCAATGATTTTTTGGATTTGACACTGAAAGCAAAGGTGTCAAAAGCAAAAATAAAGTGAGACTCTATCAAATTAAAAAGCTTTTACATATCAAAAAAAATCATCAACAAAATGAAAAAGCAATACTGAATGGGACAAAATATTTGCAGATCATGTCTGATAAGGGGTTAATAAGCAAAAGATATAAAGAATGTGTATAACAACTCAATAGCAAAACAAAAAAAATAACACCCCCAAACCCACATATAAGCCAATTAAAAATGGACAAAGAACCCAAAATAGATACTTTTCCAAAGAACACATACAAATGACCAACAGGTACATGAAAAGCTTATCAACATCACTAACGATCAGCGAATTACAAATGAAAACCATAATGAGATGTCACATCACACCTGTTACAATGGCTATCATGAAAAAGACAAGCCCTGGCCGGTTTGGCTCAGCGGTTAGAGCGTCAGCCTGCGGTCCGGAGAGACCCGGGTTCAGTTTCCGCTAAGGGCACGTACTTCGGTTGCAGTTTGTCCCCGGCCTTGGCTGGTCGTGCGGGTGGCAGCCACTCGATGTGTCCCTTCATGTCGATGTCGCGCGCTCGCGCTCTCTCTCTCTCTCTCTCTCTCTCTCTCTCTCTCTCTTCCTCTCTCTCCCTCCCACCCTATCTGTACAAAAAATGGAAAAATATCCTCGGGTGAGGATAAAAAACAAAACAAAACAAAACAAACAAACAAAAAAAGACAAGAAATAACATGCTGATAAAGATGTAGACAAAAGAGAACCCTTGTACACTGTTAGTGGGAATGTAAATTGTTACAGCTATTATAGAAAACAGTACAAAGATTCCTCAAAATATTAAAACTAGAATTACCACCTAATCTAGCAAAGACATTTCTGGGTGTAAATATAAAATAAATAAAATTACGTTCTTGAAGAGATATTTGTACTCCCATATTCATTGCAGCATTATTCACAATAGCCAAGACATTGAAACAACCTAAGTGCCCATCGACAGATGAATGGATGAAGAACCTGTGATGCGATATGTGATGTGATGTGATGTGATATGTGTGTATGTGTAGTCACGTGCTGTGCTGCTTAACGACAGGAACATATTCTGAGAAATGTACTGTTAGGCGATTTTGTCATTCTAGGAACATCACAGAATTTACTTTACTTACACAAACCCAGGTGATACAGCCTACTACTGTAATTATATGTACTATACTTTTATATGACTGGTAGAGCAGTAAGTTTGTTTACACCAGTATCACCACAGACACTTGAGTA